ATGTAATCATCTACTTTTTTGAGGTTGTGGATTTGGGGTACTTGGGGTTTTCATGAGCTGTAAGCCATAATCATCACAATGATGACAAATCACGGCTTGAATTATCTTGCTTTGCATGTAATGAGTCTATCTCATATATTAGTTTCACCTTTTAAGTTGCATTAGTGAAATAAATGAACTTTGCATGATATTCTAATTATTCGAGTTTCACCTGTATATATAGACAATGGACAAATCCCTGCCATGCCCCCACATACTGTATATATGCAATGGAAACATCCCTACCACATCCCTAGATTCCTGTTTAGCGTTGATGGATACATTTCCCACTGCAGCTTTTGTATTTTTACAGTCAACCCCACCAGCAGTCAAAATACCTAAACAGTGCCTAAATCTGAATGGATACAGGCAATGTTTGGACAACAGTTTACCACCCAGGTCCTTCTATTTTGCTATGGAAGGACGTCAGGTGGGACCTTGCCGACAAGGCCATCCACTGAGGGAATTTCAGCCGATTAATCAAGAACTGCCGAAATTCGCTCATTGTATGTATTTTGGGTCATAAAGCTCAGGACATTCTTGTACATAGGTGACAAAACTGTCTGTGTCCAAATGTTTGTCCACCATCTTTGCAGGACACATCCAACGTCACCAATGTTCAGGTGGAAATGCCCTTTTCCATAACGTAGTGGTACAATGTTGACTCGGTTATCAAAGATGACCAGTAGTGTTTTTCTGGGTTTTTTTTTACTTTCGTTCCAGTGCGTTTATATGTGTTTTGTCGAGTTCTGGTGTTTTCAAGACCAGAAAAAATCATGCCTGCAGTACTTTTTTTTTAAAGCACTGGAACAGACTGCACTGGTGGGAACTACAGCCCTAAAATACCATAGGAATACATGGGAATGTATTTCTGGGGCGTTTAAAAAACGTTATGGTCTGGTGATGGTGAAAACAAGCCCTCAGATAGAGAACTTAAATTGACAGCATGCTATGTAAACAGATGATCAGCAAAGTGAAAGTCTCAGTGCAAATTCCACTTTTTGCAAAACATAAGTAAATGCACCCATATTGCAAAAAGAAGAAATGTGCATTTATTCTTTTTATGCATTGGAGCTTGCAAAGCATTGCAACCACGATCAGTGGATAGCGGGTGCAATGCTCAGGATCCTACAGACTCTTCCTCCAGCCTCTGTCCATACCGCGGTATGTACCTTTGGCTATGGAGATGGACGATGTTATAAATGGACTATAAGTGCGGAGGTAGATAAGACTTGTAGTTTTTTTATGCTCACATGGTGGCAGAGCCAGGCACAGCTGCACTGAATTAAAAAACAAACAGAAGCTGGAAGGAAGAAGCACCCCATGATTCAGGTAAATGGGAGGGGAGGCAGGTTGAGGGTGGGGTGCTGCAGAATAGCCCCATGTTCCTTTCCAAATATGGATGGAACATGGAACATGATTGTAAAAGGTAGAATTAGTTTTAAGGTAGGCTTACAGAATGCAGAAAGCTCAGGATGGGTGTCACCAATGTGGAGATGTCACTGGTAGGAAACAGAGACATGGCAGTGACGCAAAATCTGCAGAACTGCATGCTTTAAAAGTGTTATCATGCTCCTTATACTAGGCAACTATATAGCATAGAAGGGATGCGAAGATTACAAGAGAATATGGTTCCTATATTTTTAAGTCTTCTGCTGGAAAAATATAAGGCACTCCAGCATTGCACAACTCCTCATATCAAGTGATTGGGGTTTTTTTTAGACTTAATTTTTGTGTTATATTGAGGTTCTGCTAATCAGTCAATGTGTATGTCTCAAAAATGACATCTGGGTAAACTTGATAAAAAGTCTAAAAAAAATAAAAAAATGGTTTCTCTTTAAAGGAGAACTATGGGGTTAAGTCTTTTCCCCATAGTTCTCCCTAAGGTAACGGGAGGACACAAACTAGCGTCCTCCCGTCACCCTAGGCTCAGTATACCGCGAGCTGTAGCTCGCGGTATACTGAGACGCCGCAGCTGAAGCGGATCCCGACAATTGTGCCGGGATCCGCCCAGCTGCGTGAGTGACAGCTGGCTCGGCCTATCTAGAGGCAGAGCTAGCTGTACCCGCCCCCTCCCCCGTCCGATCCGCCAGACAGCGCTGGCGGATCGGAGCAAGCAGGGGGGAATCCAGCCCCTCCCCTGTCATGATTGGTACATTTTAAAACAAATGTTTCACCGTTCCCTCCCCATGCACAGATGTATACTTCCCAAGTTCCAACCGGCCCAGCCTCCGCTGTTTGTTTGCATCCAGTGGCGGACATCTCCTCCTCCTGTCTGCCCTTGTGCAGTACATCGCCATTGATTTCTATGGGACTTGTCTACATCCATCTCCAAGCTGGGAAATGAACCCATATAAGTCAATGGGGATGTACTTCACAGGCACAGCCAGAAGAAGGAGGCGACCTCCACAGGATGTAACAAACAATAGAGGCAGGACCCATCAGAACTTGGTAAGTATGCATCTGTGCAGAGCAGAAGGGAGTGGTGAGGTATTCGTAAAGGTACCAAAAGGATTAGTGCACTTTGTTTTAGAGTGCACAAATCCTTTAAGGCGTAAATCCATCCTCTTAAAGAAACAAAGGCTATTAATCCACCTTTTTAAGAAAAACCCTCTTGAAATTGGACAGCAGATCATTATAATACATTTGGCGCTGTTTGGAGGTGCAGATTAGTTATTGTACAGCAGTGGAGTAAGTTATAAAAAAGCCTTTAATATACACACACTATAAATAAATAGCTGTGTTTTGTTACATGTTGTACTGCTCATACTAATTAGACTTGGCTAATGGTACCCCATATTGATGCTGTACACGAGCAGGAACGGAGGGAGAGTGAGAGGTAATTATGGAAAGGGGGGTTCGGATTGAAGAGGAGAGGGGGGTACACCCACACAACCTGAGTCAGGCCTGCTGAAATCACTGTACAATGCAGCACTGCTGAGTTCCACGCTCCCTGCTGAGTCTCTGTGTTATAATGAGCAATCTGCGGGTGACACTATAGAACAATCAGGCGCTAGTATAGGATCTCTGCATTCTAATGTATGCAGCTGTACAATAATCTCACAGAATAGGCACATTTTATTTTTTATTCCTTGAACATTTCATTAAAGGAGAAGTTTTGTGAGAGTAAAATGTACTATTCCCAATACTTAGAGCCCGCTCTATAGATTGAGAACTGAGCAATCACAAACCGCTGATCGTCAACTCAGGGTCTTCTACCTGTAGAGAGTGGTGACTGTCTCTGCTCCCCACTGGGATGCCGCCCTACCCTCTCTCTATTCCTCCAGTGCTTATTGGAGCGAAGTACAGGAGAGGGGGTGGGCACAGCTGGTCCTGGCCCTAGAGTGGCAGAGCCAGCTGTCAATCAGGCAGCGGGGTGGACCCTGACAATATTGACAGGATCTTTCCCGGCTGCAGCACCGCTCTGACCTGTCAGCATTTAGCAGGTAGTAGCTCATTAGTAAATGTTCTCTTGTGACCTGAAAGAGGTCTAGAGCCAAAAAAAAAGGTTTAGCTTTAGTTCTCTAACAGCCTTTAGCACCCCATCTTGGACTGACTTTTCGAGCAACCCTGCATAAAGCTCAGGAGCATTGGCACCCTCACTCTGTAATAACTTTTGCCAACACCTCAGGTTGGACAGATGCCCTGCTGCCACCTCTAACTGAGAAGTATCTGCACCCCCACATATACTCACAGCTACCAGCACCCCCACCTAAGACTTAGAGCCAGCTGCACCCTAACCCCTGAAATTAGTGGTTGTTCCAGAAGATCAAAAATCTAACCTGATTGAAAACAGCAGGCTCCCCTATTATTTAAAATAATGTGAATTGTAAAACACTAAGCCAATATAATAAAATAACACACTTAAAAAAAATGTTTTGTATTTTCAATTTTACTTTATTTAACATAATGTTTTTGTTTGCATTTTAAATTTTTATTTAACTTTTTTTTAACTGTTTCAAATTTTTTAGTCTTTTTCATTTTAGTTTATTTAACTTTATTTTTTAACTTTTTTTTTTACTTCACTGCTGGGAGCAATAGGCAGCCTGCTATTGGATATTTCAAATTGGAATAGCCAATAACAGGCTGGCTATTGCACCCACCCACTGCTTGCTGTCAATCAGCAGTTGAAAGGCACCTGAAGGAGAAAGTTCTCCATCAAGTCCTCCTCTGCTGATTGACAGCAGTCGGTGGGCGGTGCAATAGCCAGACTGCTATTGCATTTTAAATAGCAGGCTGGGTATGGCTCCCAGCCTCTAGATGGAGTGGAGGCACAGGGGGAGCATAGGAAGAACGGGGGGCAGAGGAGGAACGGGGCGGGCAACGGAGGCACAGGGCAGCATCGGGGGAACGGTGCGGGCAGCGGGGGCAGTGGAGGCAGAGAAGGAACGGGGGCAGCAGCAGGGGAACAGGGCAGGCAGTGGAGGCACAGGGCGGCAGCTAAGGAACGGAGCGGCACCGGGGGAATGCAGTCACAGTGGTCTCTCCTCCCCTCTGCTGCCGGTTGCAGTGGTCTGTGTCCCCACTGCCTCTGCCCTAACAGCAAGCGTGTAAAACTTTATATTTTGTCAAGCATTGCTTTGAGGAAAATGGTGCTGATTTAGTGAATGGTCACCAAGCATAGTAAATATGGTAAAGTTATGTCCACTTTAATTAACCAATCATGCCCTAGGAAAAATTCTGACTTTAAAATTGCCTGATTGGGTATTAAGGATGAGCACAGGTTCACCTTAGTTATCAACGTTCACTTTGCATCCTCTATAAACAACCTCTATTCCTTTAGTAAATAAACCCCAAGGTTTATATCACATATCCCTGAAAATACACTAGAGTTTCTCTTTTAAAAGAACATGCAAAACATCCTTTGTGACATTTCTATTCCTTTTACCTGGATAACAGTGTTTTTTCAGTTTAGTACAAGGTTTTGTTTTTTTTGTAAGTCATACCATGCAGAAACTTACTGTGAGTCGGATCGATCTAGACTGAATTCTTCAGAATGAGCCCTACAGCACAGAGCAGGGAGAGAAATATCAACACCAAACAGCCACAGACCTTATTCTCTTGAATTAATTATTGGATCTGCAGACAAAAATAAATAACTGCCAACTGCTATTATGTACATCAGCATGCAGCAAGCAGCGATCCAAAGAAAGAAACTAAAAGGCGTTTTTACCATCTTGGCCATGCACGGAGCAATGCAATTTTTAAGAGCAAGCGCACCTTTCTGATGAGAATAGAATACACAGTTTTGTTGCTCCTAAAGGAGTTGTAAAGTTCCATATATTATCCTGATATAACATCAGCATTGTAGTAGGAATACATACTAGAGTTGTTTTTGTTAATGCAACCATAACGTACTTGAAAAAAATCCCTTTTATGTAGTGAGTGCTGCCTTCTGTCTGCCCATCACTTTCACCAACTTCCTGGATTCCCAGTGTGCTTTGCATCTCTTTCCCTGCTGCTTAATGTGAGGCTATCTCGATTTCTCAAGAATACATATCCCATCATGCATTGCTTACAGCAAGCAATGATAAAGTTCCATGGCTCAGACATTAAAGTTATATTTAAGTGAAAAGGATTTTAAGCTATTTCAAAAGGCTTATGAAATCACTTATGATGGATGCTGCTTCTAGATGTTCAAAAGTTTTAGTTTCCTGCAGAATCTGCTGGTCCCATGAGCACTGGTCTTGACTTCCTGTTTTATAGTTACTCCCTTCTCAATGTGAGAGCTATGCAGTCACCCTTGTCTGTTCTAGTAAGCTGTGTGTGTCTCCTCAAACACAGCAAATCAAGCTACTTTCCTCCCCTGTGTGTCACACGCTGGCTCTATAGATCGAGAACTGAGCGATTAGAAACCACTGATCGCTCAGAGCTTTTCACTGCAGTAAGCTAAGACTGCCAGTCTCTGTTCCCTGCAGGAATTCTCTCCCCTCTCTATTCCTCCAGCACTCATTGTAGGGACAGACAGGGCACAGCTGGCTCTGCCTCTAGAGAGGCAGATCGAGCTGTCATTTGGGCAGCGGGGTGGATCCCAACTGGCAGTGGCCCACTATATGCTGAGTTTGGATCACAGGAGTACATTACTAAATGCACTTCTGTGTCTATGTGTAATCTTTTCAAAGTACAGACAGAATTCGGTTAACACGTTGTTTGAAATACTAATACTCACATCGATTGGGTTGCTTGCATCATCTGCCTTGGAAGGGGTCTCAGGCATCCATTTGAAAAGGCTTGCAGGGAATATGATGTCGGTCCTGGGGCAGGTTAGAAGTCGTCCTCACTGCTCTTTAGGGAATATCTTTGGGCTAGACCACTCTAGTCCCCGATATCATATGAAGTAGCTGAAGGGGTTTTCCCAAAAATGAGGATTACCTCAAAGAAGGTGAACAGAGGCGCTTGGAGTCCAAGAAAGAGTTTTGGATATTTTCTGGTAAATCAACGCATTTCGTGGTAGTGTTCGATCACTTCTTCAGGAGGGTGTATTACTGTTTCTGTTATACAGAAAAGTGAACAAGGAGAATACACAACTAAAGGGATCCTGGAAATGTTTACGTTGAGCAGCTTTTCCCGAGTTCCCAGCCATCTATAAACCACCTGGCAGAACTTCTGAGGATTCTGGTATTCTCTGTATTGATCTATCTGCATATATTATACTAATCCATGTGAGTTGAAAGTAAATTTAAAAAAAAAAACTTGTCAAGGAGTTATTTGGGCCACTACGTGAAAGTATGTCTTTTTCTATGAACCATTATGTGCTTTTATCAGCACATTTAATATAGGGAAAAATTAAAGAGAACTATCCACTGTATTTATAGTTTTTTGTAGTTGTTTATAGGCCAACTGCATCCAAAATTGATATTATAGGTCTGTGTGGTTGTCAGCAAGTCAAATCACATGCAGCCTTCTTAAATATTACAGGAGCTTTATTGGTAAAATCCAAGATCTGCCCACCTACTGCTGGCACCACAATGATTATAC